GTTCCTCGACGTGTCGGCGCGAAGCGCTCCTCGATCGCGGCCCTCGGAGGCCCAGCTTCCCGGGTCCCAGGGTGAGGTCGCAGGGGGATCTCGGACGCAGAATGACACATCGTCAAACCATATATACAGAGACTGCCACACATGGTCAAAGCATCGTCCCCAGACTGTGTTTGGCCTATTTCTGAATCGTCCCCCCCTGTGGAGGGGCAGGCACGACCTGGCCCCAGAGTGCCATCGACGGCGCCACCCGGGGCGGAAGCTGCCCCCGGGAACCAGCACGCTCCGCGGCTCGCGGCGCGCGCGGGCGCGCCGAGGCCGCGGGAGGGGGCTTTGCAAAAAAAAAAAACAAGGATTGCAAACAAAACAAAAAAATGCAAAAAAAACGAAGGATTGAAAAAAACTAAGGATTGCAATCCTTCGTTCATGGTTTTTTTTGCAATCCTTCGTTCAGGCGAGACGGACACGAGCCTTATGTTGTTTCAGCGCACTGGAGGACCGCGTCCCAGAAATCATTCCGAGCGCCCAGCAAAAAGGATCGAAACGGTGTCGGACGAGGATCGCCCCCCCCCAGGGCCCGACACGTGGAACAAAAACCCTCAGGTCTCGGTGCTTTCTTGGTGCTCGAAATTCCTTCTGGTGATCAAGGCGCCAAGGTGGGCTGGAACAGCACAAGACGAGCCCACCTCTCCGACGAGGTGCGGTCGGCCTCGGCCTCGCTGCCCCTCGCTGTCGGACCTGCTGCCTCCATGTCTGCTGTCGAGCTCCGGGCGCTGCTCCTCGACGCCGGCCCTCGCGGACCCGCGCCATTCGGCCTCCAAGGCCTCCTCCGCCTCCCCGACCTCCAAGGCGTCCTCGAGGAAGAGGAGGATGGAGGGAGGAGGAGAAGGAGGGAGGAGGGAGGAGGGAGGAGTGGGAAGGGAGGAATAGGGAGGAGGGAGGAGGATTTTGTTAAACATCCGCGAAGCTGACCACATACACCACACTGGGGTTGGGTGGAGGAGGAGGAGGAGGAAAATTTAAAGGAGGCCCCAGAGGCCATCGAAACATGCTCCGGGGCGGCGAGCACTGTTCTCAGGAAGAGACTCCCGCGGCACACGCACGCGCGGGCGCACCTGGGGCAACCAGAAGGTGCCGATACTGTCACTTCCCGGGCCTCTACCAGGGCGCGTTCTGACCAGAATGTCGGGGCGAATCCAGCCGTGGCGAGGAGGGCCTCCGAGGAGGCCCAAAAGGGGATAGGATACCGAGGGACGGGAAGCAGTGGGGCTATCTTTTTCCTCCCCAAAGTGTCGTGGTTGTGAGGGCATGGTGGCATGGGCACGAACCTCAATGTCCGTCGGTTCGGTCTTGACTTCGTCGTTCCGTGATTTCTCGATTTCGGCCTCGGCTTCTCCACGGGCAGTTTCTCGATTTGGGCCCCAAAAGCCCGCAGAACTGGGCCCCGGGCGACCAACAGAGCATCGGGGGCGCATTGGAAAAAATCGCATCGCTGGATGTCTGGGGAAATCGACGGCGCTCCAAGAGCGCATCGACCTCGCGCCTTCGCCTCGCTCGGGAGACAGGCCTCCGGGCTCTCGGCGAAGGCGTGGGGCGGGAGTGTGCCCATGACCGTCTCCTGGAGGATCGAGGTTGGGAGACGTCGGCGGGCGGTGGACATGGGCCCAAATACAGTGGAGGCCAGTCCACAAGAAACCTTCCACAAGAGACCCAACCCTGAGATCCCAGGACGTCCCTTGATTTGTGGCCTGGGAGCGCCACGCTCTTCGTCGCAAAAACACCGAAACCCTCGAACCCTAGGGCACCCTGGAGGCAAGCAGGGTGTTCCTTGGCATGGGCCTCCACTGTACCCATGACCACCTCCTGGGGAATCGAGGTTGGGAAATGTCGGCGGGCGCTGTCATGTAGATGCCGAATCTCCGACCGCGTCGGGGTCCCGTCGACTCCGCGCCAGAATCGCGACGAAACCGCGTCGAGCCCACACGAAAAGACCGCCATCTACATGACAGGAGAGGTCCCCATGATGTGCGACGTAACTCATGGCGCAGCTCATGCCCGTCGTGCCTCCTCCTCCTCCTCCTCCTCCTCCTCCTCTTCCCCAAGCACCGCCCGCCGCGCTCCATGATCGCTCCGCCCAGGAGGGGGGGACGAGCCAACAGCAGTCCCCAGAGAGCGCTGCCCCTCGGGAGGAGGAGGAGGAGGAGGAGGAGGAGGAGGAGGAGGAGGAGGAGGAGGAGGAGGAAGAGGAGGAGGAGGAGGAGGAGCAGCGAAGAGGAGGGAGGAGGAGCGAAGAGGAGGGAGGAGGAGGAGGAGGAGGAGGAGGAGGAGGAGGAGGATGAGGATGATGATGATGAGGAGGAGGAGGAGGAGGAGGAGGAGGAGGAGAAGGGGGAGGAGGGGGAGGGGGAGTGATCGGCCGCCAAGCGTTCTCAGCCCGCCACCAGCGTCACGGATCGGGCGTGCTCGTATTCGTCCAGGAGCCAGCTCACGATGGCCTTGCTCCTGGTCCGCGCAGGCGGGCCTCCTCGTACTCGCTCCTTCCTCGCCCGCGAAGCGTGCGCACACTTTCCTTCCTCGGTGCACCTCGGCTCTGGCTCGGCCTCCGCTGCGGAGGCACTTCGGAGCGCCTCTTCGAGCCAGCTCGCCCGAGTCGATTCCCCCCTCCCTCGTACGGGTACCTCCCTCCCCCCCATCTGCCCGGCCGAGTGCGCGAAATCGGAACGAGCCAGAAACGAACGCGCTCGACTCGTGAGAAGTCAGGCTCCGTCGGGAGAGACAGACAGCCCTGTGGCTGTGCCCTCTTTGCGCTCCTCCGCCGCCCTCCCCTCCTCCTCACACCCCTCCTCCTCCTCCTCCTCCTCCTCCTCCTCTCCTCTCCCTCCCCTCCTCCTCCTCCTCCGCCCCCTCCTCCTCCTCCTCCTCCTCCTCCTCCTCCTCCTCCTCCGCCTTTTCCTCGTCGACAACGTGGAAGTGGAACGGATCAGCAATGACCAAAGACAGACGACCTGGTGGTCTTGTGCTACCTCTGCTGGAGGCGGGCCAGTGGAGGCAGCGGCGGCTCCCCCGCCGAGCCCACGTCCGTGCGAGCCCTGTCTCCGGACCCGCTCCCTGGAATCCGCCCGGACCCGTTCGCCGAAGCGAATCCCAACTCGGCGACCAGGTGCGTCGGGGAGAGCGGCAGCTCGCGCGCGGCCGACGGAGGAGCCGCGGCGGCAGCGGGAGCGCAAGCAGGGCGTGCTTGAGGAGGAGGAGGAGGAGGAGGAGGAGGAGGAGGAGGAGGGGGAGGAGGAGGAGGAGGAGGAGGAGGAGGAGGAGGAGGAGGAGGGCTTGTCGAAGCGAATCCGAGCTCGCCCTCTTGGGCCCCCAGGTGGACGCGCAAAAGACTCGAGGCAGAGCCGCCGGCGTCTCGACTGCGCATCCGTACTCGTGCAGTAGCTCGGGCCTCCGACGGCCCTCTCGGGACGCTCCGGGCAGCCCCAAACCGATCTCGACGCGGTGCCGCTGCGGGAACGGAGGAGGGAGGAGGGAGGAGGAGGAGAAGGAGGAGGAGGAGGAGGAGGAGAGGATGAGGATGAGGAGGGAGGAGGGAGGAGGGAGGAGGGAGGAGGGAGGAGGAGGGAGGAGGGAGGAGGAGGAAGGAGGAGGAGGGAGGAGGAGGGAGGAGGGAGGAGCAGGGAGGAGCAGGGAGGAGGAGGGAGGAGGAGGAGGCAACGAAAACCCCCAAGAATCGCCGCAAGAACACTTGCCCTCCTGTAGTCCGTCTCGCCCTGGCAGCGGCGGAGGACGGGAATCGGGGGCGTCGAAGACGGGGATCTCCCAAAAGAAGGGGGCTCGCAAGTCATGGTCGGAGGCACGTGCGCGAACGAGGGGCGGCCAGGAGGAAGCATAATAATACAGCTTCAAGTTGCTGGCACGCAGAGGGCGGCAGGGTTAGGTCGGGCATGTCCTCCTACAGGCGGCTTTTGGACGAACAACAGCCCCAAACAAAAACAAGCCAAGCGTAGTCAAACATACAAAAAAAACACTCGTAGTAAAAATTGTCTCCTACAAGTAAAAAAACATACGAACATAGCCAAACATAATCAAGACATAGTCCCTAGACTATTTTGGTTACTATTTTGGAATAGTTTCCTGTAGAGGGACGTGCCCGGCTTAATGGTTGGGAGAGGGGGGAAGGCTTCTCAGAAGGAGGCCGCCTCTTAGAAGGCGCCGGCCCTGACCCTACAGACAAGGCCCGCGCCTTGTAGGAAGCGGCCTCCTTCTAAGAAGCCTTCAAGGACGGGGCCTCCTGAGAAGCAGCACCTCCCGCTGAGAACAGCCTTCCCCCCGCCCCCCACCCAAGGTGGGCGCCTTCTGAGAAGCAGCCTCCTTCTAAGAAGCGGCCCCCCCCTCCCCCCTACCCCCCTTCCGTGCGAGGCGGAGATTTATCCAAATCCACCGCCTGGGAACCGACGTCCTGGTGCCATAGCGGGCGGTGGATATTCATATATTGTGGCCCCCGGGGGCCCGAATATGTCCATATCCACTGCCTGCCGAGGCTCCGAAGACTGACCCTCCAGGCGGTGGTCACGTATAAATTCCCGCCTCGGATTCCGCGCGTGGCCGACGAGCAGCCGTCGACCCCCTCTGGGCCGCACCCGAGGAGGACGGAAAGCGCGGCGCGCGGGCGAAGGCCACCGGGGGCGACGGGCGGGAGCCGAGGAGCGCCTCGGCCGCGGCCAGATGCCGCGGCACGCCACAAGACTACGTTTAGGTCTTGCATGTGCCTCTACAGGGGGATTTGGGTTTTTCCGAACAAAAGAAAAAAAGGAAAAATGTGAAAATGCTCAAATATGGCCAAAACGCTCGTCCCCCGACTATGTTTGGACTATTTTTGGATAATCCCCCTGAAACAAAAAACACCCTAAACAGAAACTCTTGCCGCTCCGCGCGGATTTCGTGGATCTGCGCTGGACCCCCTTCTCCCTGGCGCGCGGAGCGCGCCAATGGCGGCGCCGGAGGCGCCGCGCCGCGGGGGGGGGGGCCCGGCGCGGATCCAAAAAGTTCGCGCGAAGCGCCAAAAATTTATGTTTATGGCGTTTTTTGTTCTTCGAATGTACACAGACGCCCTCCGACGAACTTTGCATTTACCGCGGGGTCGTGTCGTGGCGACCCTGGCGCTGGCTCCTGACACCGCTGGGATCGTACAACCTTCCATGATCGGCCGCTTTCGAAACGTCAGATCGTTCAACATCGGCCGATTCTGGGTCGCCTGCAGCGTTCAGCGTTGAACGCCAGCGGCGGGGTCGCCGCGGGTCGACACGACGCGAACCTGCTGTACCTTCAGGGAGGGTGTCGTCGTCGTCAGTCGAGCTCGCCGTCGTTGTCGTCGGTCCTCGTCACCGGCCGTCGTCGATATTCAGTCGACATTCGTCGTTCGTCGCCGCCACCGCCGCCGCTGCCGTCGCCGTCGTCGTCGTCGTCGTCGTCGCCGTCGCCGTCGTCGTCGTCGCCGTCGTCCTCGTCGTCGTCGTCGTTGTCGCCGTCGTCGCCGTCGTCGTCGTCGTCGTCTTCGTCGCCAGAGTCTTCGACAGCGTCGGGAACACTGGATTACAATGCACTGATTCACAACTATTTTTTTCATTACCCGGGACCCCCCCCGAAATCGGACCCGCCGAATCCTGGGCCCCCAGGACCCTTTGGACCGCCCGGATCTGTGCTCCCGGGGACCCCCTCTGAACACCACTGCAGGATGCCCCCCAGGCGTTTCAGAGCTCCTGGAAGCCCTTCCTGGGCCTGGGCAACGGGCCCAAATGGGTCAGGAGAGCGGCCGAACGCAGCCCCGAGGGCTTTAGAGGCCCCCAGACACCCACCAGAACGACCCAAAGAAGACACCCAAGAGGCTTCCAAAACGCAGGAAAGCATTCATTGATTACGGTTTTTGCATGAATTTAATATTGGCAAGGCCATCTTCTTGGGTTTCTGGGCGTCCGAGACCGCCTGGGATGCTCGAAAATCGCTCCCAAACCATCCGAACAGGCTTCCAGGCAGTCTAGAACTAAGAGAGCCCCAAGACGGCACAACAGGTTTCCAAGATGGCAGATGGCCTAAGAGAGCCGCATGACGGCCCAAATTGACCCCAAGACACCCTCCGAAACATTCAAAATCTTGACCCGGTCGTTGAGGGAGACCGCGGTTGGAGGCAGGGTGGCCCGAGGAAGCCTCGAGAGGCCCCCAGAAGACGCCCAGGAGGCCTCCAGAAGGCCTTAAGAAAGCTTGAAAAAACTTCTGTGAGGCCCCCAGAGGCTCTCTAAAGAGGAGCCTCCGCAAAAAGAGCTGAGGAGGATGGGAAAGACTTCGAAAGGTAGGGCGTTCATGCGAAAAAAGAAACATGGAGAACAAATAGCGAATAGCATCATTATAACGGCGATGCCGGAAAAGGCAACAAGGAGTTCTCGCTATATTGTCTCTTTGGCCTTCCTGCCGTTCCGCCTGCATGCCAAAGTTCAAGGACCAAGGTGCATGGCGCGAGGCGCCAATGCAGTGTTGCGTGTGTTTATGTACATATATATATACACATACAAAAGCACCCTCCGACGAACTGTGCATATACCCTCAGGGAGGGTGGCGGTGCATGCCGTCACTGGCCTTCGGTGGTTATATATATATATACATATATGTATCCGAGTGTATATATATATATAACATTTATTTATTTTTATATATATATATATATATATATATATATAGGTATGTATATATAAATATATATACATATAGCTACACCGCAGCCCTCCCCCGAGGCCCAGGAGCAATCCATCGGAGGGTGTCTGTGTCTCTTCCTGTGGCGGGCGCCAGGCCGCGGCGCGCGGGCCGCGGCCGCCGGTCCGCTTCTACCACGCCGGCTCCAACGGAGTCTGCCCCGACTTCGGATCAGCCGTGCGCTGGGCGATGTCGCAAGTAGGGCGGACACTGCTACCCCACCTTGAATAGGGGAACGAAGAATGACATAAACATAGGTCCACGTGGATTTCTCGGATCGGCGCTGGGGCCCCCTGGCGGCGCCTCCGGCGCCGCCCCTGGCGCGCTCCGCGCGCCAGGGAGGGGGGTCCAACGCCGATCCGAGAAATCCGCGCGGACCTCCGAGTTGTTATGCTTATGTCACTTCTTATTCCCATAAAGTAGGGCGGACACTGCTACCCCACCTTGAAAACTCCTCTGGTGACGATGTCTGCCGGTCTTTGCCGTCGATGCTTCCGCCATACCTTTGTGGAACTAAGCGCCCTGCTTTCCTGCGGCGGAGATTGTCGCACTGCTTCTTCGCATCGTTTGGGGTGCATCTCCGACACGCTTGATGTCGGAAAATCCACCAAACTATTTACGGCGGATCCGACGTCAGGGCGGCCCTTTCCCGTCAATCCAGGTCCTCCTCCTCAACTTCCTCTAGCGCCGCGCAAGTTCGTCCCCAAACGTTCAAGCGGCTGCGCGGATGAAGTGGAGGCCGTCTTCAGAATGTGGTGATCGCCTCAGCGCCTCGCACATTCGGCTTAAAAAAAACCAGGCGGTACACGAATAAGAGGGGACCGTTGCCAACACGTGGTCATCGCCTTAGCACGGCCGGCATTCGTCTGGAAGGCAACCAACAGTTACACGGATGGAGGGCGGTTCATTTTCAAGATGTGGCTCTCGCCTGAGCGCTGGAAGCGTTCGTCGAAGAGCTTCCAGCGATTACACGGATAGAGAGCAATTCGTTTTCAAATTGTGACTTTCGCACTAGCGCCGCGCATGCTTGTTTTGAAATAGTCCAGCTGACGCGCGGGTTGAGCGCGACTCCTTGCCAACACACAGTTTTTTCCTGGTCAGGCAACAAACTATGTCTCTCCCCCTCTCCGTCCCTCCCTCCCTCTTCCCTCCCCCTCTCTCCAATTCCCCCCCGAACGGAATCAAACTATGTCTCTCCCTCTTTCCCTCTGTCCCCAGACCCCCGACGTCGAGATGTTTGTTACGACGCGACCCCCAAAGGTCCGCACCCTTTCCCCTGGACTGGCTATTCATCCCGAGTCGTTGTTTGACGGCCCCGAGGCCCGTTGAGGGCCCCAAGAGGCCGAAAATGGCGAAAAAACTCCTGTCGCGATTGTTTCATCACTCGAGGGGGTCTGGGATACTCCTCGTGTAGAGGGACATGCCCGACTTACCTCTTCCTCCTCCCTCCTCCTCCTCCTCCTCCTCCTCCTCCTCCTCCTCGTCTCCCTCCTCCTCTCCTCATCCTCCTCCTCCTCCTCCTCCAACTCCTCCTCCTCCTCCTCCTCCTCCTCCTTGCGACTTGCAACCTCTGGGCGGCCGCCCGATCCGACCGAGCGGGCGCCGCGCCACGGGCGGCCTGTCGGGCCACCTGCAGTACACGAGCGCGCAGACGTCGTACTCGCCAAACGAGGTGTCGCCATCAGCGAGGGCGACGATGAACGCCACGTCTGGACAAGCCATCCATTGGCGCCGATATATAATGGCACAATAGTAGGCCAGACGCCGTGCCCACCGAGCCAACCAGACTGCAGTGGTGATAGCAGTATGAAGAAATTGACCACTCCAGCACTGTAACATGTAACCACCCCCGCTAAGCTACACGCGAGTCCAGTGGCGACGACGTGTGACCAAATAAGCCAGCAAAGGTCGCAAGCGGGGCGGTCACTCCCCCACGCGCCCAGACAGTATTACGTGCAGCCTGGCGTGGAATCCCACCTTTTCGGTCACGTCGCTGGCAACCCTCGCGCATCTGGTGCATACCGTGGCGGCCCCATGCCAGTCCAATGTGTGCCCCAGCTCCGTGAAGTGGTAGTGTAACTTCTCCATCCGCGCGCTTGTGAGATCAAGACTCGTATGTAGACCCCCGCTTTGAACCGAAGCACACGCCCATCCGCAGCCTCTGTAGGTTTGACGGTTGGCAACAGCGCCAGGTGCCCCAACATTGGTGGTCGACCTGCCCCAGTGTTCTGGCCCTCATGCCGCACGCTCTGTATCGCCACGCCTGCAACACCTCGGACTTCCAGAACACATGCTGCAGCACCTGAACCTGTTCCTTGACCTCGCGAACGTTCGGTTCCTTCCTCTCGCAATTACACCAAAGCTTGAACCGACCTCATCTGCACAATGTGTAGCTGAGAAACCGTGCTCCCAGCTTCGCTTGCGCCGTGGCCATATGAGGCATATCCACGAACCCATCAGCAAAGCCGATGCTCGTTGCGCCTTCCTTGGCAAAGCGATCCATGAAATGCCCAGTATCCACTCCAGTGACACCGTGGCATCAGGATTGCAGGTCTCCTCCAAAGTATCCCAATATGGAATGCGCCAATAGAACCTGGGCTGAGGCTTGCCCGCGGTAGCCCAATAATCTCGTATTCCTCGCCATACGCTCGCATGTGGTGCGTGGGCCTTCTCGTCCTCATCTGACCCTCGGAAAATTTCCTGCACCAGCCCAGCTAAGTCGGTGACCAAGTCCGTCGCAATCGGTTGGTATCGTGGTGTCTGGAGCACGCAATGTCGCTCCGCCACCCCAAATCGAATATTGTACGCCAGGTAGCCCTCCATGTACAGCCCGTGTTGGACATCCTTGTGGCGACATCTGTATAACTGACCATCCACGCCGCCGCAGCTCTGGTATGCTTGATAGTATCGCCGACCCATCGGTGTAGACCCAGTAAGGCCATGTAGCTGGGCCGCTTTCCCAATCGCCCCAAGAGCGTACATAACGATCCGTGACCTGTTCCTCATAATCGCTTGGCACCAAGGGCATGCCCTCACTGAAGTCATAGCAGTCATCCGTGACCAACGACATACGTAACGTACCGTGCTGCAGCACCGAGTCTCGGTACTTGCACAGTTCGTCTGGCATTGGGTGTTCCTCCTCTTCGTCGCACAGCTGTGAGTTGGTAGCAGGGCAACGATAACACACGTGCCCAATGACCTCCACGTCGGTTCGCATTGTCGACATGTGTCAGTTTCCTCTTACGATTCTGCTGAAGTTTAGCGCGTGTCCATAGTGAGCGAGACCATAATGCACGTAGTATTCCTGCCGTCTTAGGGTTCTGTATCTCAGCGTTCCGCGCTCCGATACATGCCCGCAAACCCCGTGTCCAAATGGCAGCCCCAGGATCCTCCTGATGATGTGCCTGGATACGTCGCATCTGCAAACGCTGTATCCCCGCTCGTAACATATCTTGTAGTAGACGTGGGTCCGTCCGCAGCAATGACCATGTGGTGTCTTGGCCATCCATGACCATGGTTGACGACTGCATCGTCCATTCAAGTCGCTGTAGTGAAAAAAAACAAACCACCACCATCGGTCCCCTGGCACTATGCCAAGTCACTTTGCTGCGAGCGAACACTTGATTAGCACGTTGTAATTTGCCCAAGTTTAAGAATTGCTCCCATATGACTCGGTGGTAGCCGAAGAGCGGTGCCGTCGTAGCCTCGAGAATAAGATCGTACCATGGGTCGGACTGCGCGGCGAAATACAGCGTGCTGCTGCCTCCGCGACCAGATATCCAGTGAGTTGTGTAGCTGCCTGTCGAAGTGCTCGGATCTCGCTCTCTGAGATGCCGCTGACCGTCGCTCCATGTCCTGTGGATGGTAGATCCTCCTCCTCCTCCTCATCCTCATCCTCATCCTCATCATCATCATCATCATCATCATCATCATCATCATCATCATCATCATCATCATCATCATCATTATCATCATCGTCATCGTCATCCCCTTCTCTCCCCGTCCACGCTGGAGGTGCTCCTCCGTGGCCGCTGCCGGCCACGAGCGGCCCGGCCGGGCCAAGGAGCTGCAGCCGGCCACAGCGGGAGGCGGCGGCCTTCCCCCTGGGCGAGCACACCCGGGGCCGCGGCCAAAGTTCAGAAGACGCTCCTGGGAGCCTTCCGTAATCACCTGAGTGGCCGCCGTGGCTCCTCCATTGGCCACCACTGGACCCCAGCGGCCCCCCGCAAGCCTAGAGCTGCCTCCGGTGTCTCCTGCAGTGGCCCACCCGCGGCCTCCAACGGCCTCCAGTGGCCTCCCGTAGCCCCCAGTGGCCTCCAGTGGCGCGAGCAAACGACTGTGGACCACTGGAGGCGCAGGAAAGCCAGGCCAAATGACTATCAGAGGCTCCCAGGATCGTCTTCTGAACCCAAAGGATAGGTCGGGCATGTCTCCTCGTGATACAAAAGGGGGTCCAGCTGCAAGGGGGTGGTGCAATAGATCTGGGGCAATTGTATTGCAGATGTCTTGCGCCAGGGGACTGTATCGCATTGTGCTGCAGCTAACTAATGTATTGCACGCGAGAATCCAGCAACACATTTCGGCCCTGGAATGTATTGCACGCCCCAAATCTGCTGCAACCCCACAAATCTATTGCACAAAATCTATTGCACCACCCCCTTGTCGTTGGACCCCCTTTTGGGTCAACCCGAAGTTAGGTCGGGCGTGTCCTCCGACTGCCGGATTCTAAAGGAAGAACTAGAACATCGTTAACAAAAATACGCAAACAAATCACAAGGGCACGAGACATCGCCACCATTCTTGAATCCCAGACCCCCGACGTCATGATTTTTTCATGAGGCGACCCCAGAGGCCCGGACCCCTTCCACGGGACCCGTTTTGCATCCCCAGTCATTTCCTGACAGTCCCGAGGCCCGGCGAGAGCCTCCAAAGGCCGAAAATGGCGAAAAACCTCCCGCCGTGATTTTGTCCATGACTCGAGGGGGTCTGCGAGACTAGAGAGCCATGCCCGACTTGCCTCCTCCTCCTCCTCCTCCTCCTCCTCCGACTTGGCCCAAAAAGGGGGCGCAGTGGCGCGCCGCGTCCTGAGCCCCGTGTGGTGCGGGCCCCGGTGGTGCGGGCCCTCCAGCGTGATGTCCACGCGGATCGGCCAGCGGGTGGACTCCTGAGGCTCTTGCAGGGGGCTGGAGATCCGCGCGGGGACGTGCCTCTCCCCGCTTCGCCTCTCCTCCTCCGCCTCCTCCTCCTCCTCCTCCTCCTCCTCCTCCTCCTCCTCCTCCTCCTCCTCCTCCTCCTCCTCCTCCTCCTCCCCCCCCTCCTCCTCCTCCTCATCCTCCTCCTCCTCCTCCTCCTGCCCCCCCATTCATCCGTTTCCCCTCCTCTCCCCCTACCGCTCCCTCTGAGTGGCAACGTTCGGGGGGGGGCCAGCTCAGGGGAGGGGGGGGAAGCATCGAGCGCCAATCGGCGATGCATCGCCGATACATCGACGATAGGCCCCCGAGGGCGAAACCGCAAGCTCCTTGGCCCGTTGGGCGAAGGGGCCCCGTATCGAGAATCCACTGGCATGTGGGATCGATGCGTTCCCACCCCCCACGGGCCTACTTGAGCCACCGCATGGGATTACAGATGGATGCCAAGGTGGCCTATACACGGACTGCCAAAGCTTATCAGTGGGTTAGGACTGCCCCGAATGGCATAGGGGGTAAGGATCCGGGCTGGGTGGGCTCCGCCCTCTCAGCGGAGTTAGAGAACCCATCCAAGCCACTTACGGCGCTCGTAAACAGCTGAGAAGCTAGATTGGGCAAGATAGAACCCACCTTAGCATCCATGCAGAACCTCCGATCCCCTTAGCAACCCCACGGTGATCCAACTATATACCCCCCTCTGACATTGCCCATGAGCTTCCTCCTCCCCCCGCATCCTACCCCGGCCTGCTCCGCCTCTCGTTGACGACCGTCTGGAACGATCCAGGTACCCTAGGAACGCTATCGGCGAGGCGCAGCTGCTGGAAAGCGCCGAGGCCGCAACGCCGACGAGAGCCGACGAAGACGCTCGAAGATCTCGAGCCTCGAACCTCAAAACGTCCAGACTGTGTGTAGTCCCGCCAAGGCGACCCTCCCTCCCAGCGTTTCCCCTGAACCTCCCCCGTCCTTGGCGGCGCGCAGAAGGGTGTTCGGGGAGGGGGGAGGCTTATCAGATGGAGGTTGCTTCTTCGAAGAAACCGGCCTTACATCTACAGAGAAAGTCCGCGCCTTCCGAGAAGCAAGTGTGCCTCTAAGAAGCCTTCCCGCCTCCCCCTACGACAGGTTTGCGTCGTGGCGTCTCTGGCGTTGGTTCTTGACACCGCGGATATCGTAGGAGGAGGAGGAGGAGGAGGAGGAGGCGGAGGAAAGGGAGGAGGAGGAAAGGAAGGAGGAGGAGGAGCAGCAGGAGGAGGAAGGGGAGGAGGGGAAGGAGCAGGAGGAGGAGGAGGAGAAGCAGGAGGAGAAAGGGGAGGATGAGGAGGAGGAGCAGGAGGAGGAGGAGGAGAAGAGGGCGGAGGAGGAAGAGGAGGAGGAGGAGGAGGAGGGGAGGGGAGGAGGAGAGGAGGAGGAGGAAGAGAGGAGGAGGAGGAGGAGGAGGAGGAGAAGGGGAGGAGGAGGAGTGGAGGAGGAGGAGGAGGAGGAGGAAGGAGAGGAGGGAAGAGGAGGAGGAGGAGGAGGAGGAGGAGGGAGGGAGGGAGGGGAGGGAGGGGGAGGGAGGGAGGGAGGGGAGGGAGGGAGGGAGGGAGGAGGAGGAGGTGGAGGAGGAGGAGGAGGAGGAGGAGGAGAAGAGGGGATGGAGGAGGAGGAGGAGGAGAGGAGGAGGATGGGGAGGAGGAGGGGAGGAAGGAGGAGGAGGGAGGAGGAGGGTAGGAGGGAGGAGGAGGAGGAGAGGAGGAGGAGGAGGAGGAGGAGGAGGAGGTGGGCCCCACCTGCATCGGCACGCAAATGACGCTAGCCAAGAATGGCCTTTGGTGTGCGGCGTTCGTGGAACGCGGCGTGGGCCAAACCCGGGCGCGCAAGCCGCTGCTCCCGCATCGCCTTCAGCCTTTCGGGGGCCCCGGCGTGCCCGAACCAACGGTCGCTCCGAGTCGCTCCAGCGAACGCTCACTTTTGCCGACTGTAGGCCAACACCAAAAATCACTGCGGCGAACTGCCACTCTTATGCGCAGCCGACACCCCCCCGCCGGCGGCTTACGGCGACGACGGCGCCGACCACGCCGCCGCCGCGCGCCGAGGACTCGCGACGGCGAGGGGCCGAAACCGATAGCGCCGCCAAGGGCCGCCAGCGACGCCGCCGCCGCCGACCGACAACGAGCGACGACGAGCGCCGCCGCCGCCGCCGCCGACGACGACGATGACGACGACGAGCGGCGAGCGACGGCGAGCGACGGCGAACGGCGGCGAGCGCCGCTGACGCCGCCGCAGCTGACGACGACGCCAACGCCGACGCCGACGCCGACGCCGCCGACGACGAGGACCCAACTCAAGCCAGCAACCCCACGAGTGTTGTCCGGTTGACTTTTCACTTCGGTGCAAAAATGCTTCGGCACTCTGTCGAGACTCAAACTTGATAGTCCAGTAAGACGTGCTCCGAGTACCGAGTACCTGCTATCAGGGATTACGGGCTGCTATCAGGGATTACGGGAATGGACCGCACTCCGTGGCTGCTTACGCCGCCAAAATTAGCGGTGTGGCCTGTGGGGCCATCCAGCTCTCCCCTGAAACGAAGACCAAGGGCCTCACAAGAAACCCATGAAAAAACCCTTCAACTTCCACTCCCCCATCCCACGTCCAGACCGCCCCACCCCCGCCCTTTCCGTTACGGGGCGCCTCAACTCGGCGAATTGGTGCAATCGCGGCCGATCCAGCATCGAGAGCAAGAGCTTTATCCACCGAGTCGTGTCCAGCCTGCAGCTAACTCAACAATGTGATGGAGAGTGGCGCCCGATCATGAGTTGCCTTGTGCTGCTCATTCGCCGCCCTTTCCCTGCAGCTCCGACTGCAGGTCCTCGGCCAGGCGCTCCAGGGGCCCGCGGGGGGGCGGTTCCCAACGTGGGCTGGCCGCCCATCAGTTTCACGCCCCTGACCAGCACCGTTTCGAGCTCTGGATGGATCGACTTGGTTGCGATAGATAAATTCACCTTCTCGCCAGCATTATCCTTCTTCTTCTTCTTCGCGGGCTTCACCTTGCAGTGACGAGCCAGTCCCGCTAGGTCGAGCACGCTCTGGGCGGATATAACTCGTGTCTCCCAGAAGCTCGCCACCGTCGTCTGCTCCAGCGGCTTCAGGTGTTCGCCCAAGGTCGCCAACGCGCGCAGCGCTGCCATACTATGTACGGATATGGCGGGCCCAGTGCTTCTGACTGGGCTGCGTCCTGGTTTGCCTCCTTTTGCCTTCTCCTGATGAGCGATGCCCTCTGCTTGTGCTTCCTCTCCCACGGGGCACTCGACGGGTCACAACACCGTGCGCCGCAGCATGCCTGTGATCTCCCTCAACTCGGCCGCGCTCGTGAGCGTTAGGCGCGTCAACACCACCAATAACTTTGCCACCGTTTTCATGTGTTCCTTCCTCACCAGGTCTGCAGGTTGCCGCGTGTTCTGCCGTGGTGGCTTTCCTCCACCCCGTCGCCACCTCGCCGCTGGAGCACCCGGGAGGGAGCCGCCAAGCTCGTCCGCGAAGAATTGTGAGCGGCGGGGCGTGGCTCTGCAGGTGGGTCCGGGGGATCCTCGAGGGCCCAGCTAACAGATCTGCAGAGATGCCGTGCCTTCCTGTCGGGATCGTGCCGTCCGCCGCCGCAACCTGAGCTGGTCGCACAAGGCTTGGGTCGGGCGTGTCCCCCTACAGGGGGATGTTCGACGAAACATTTTAACAATTTGTATTAAAGGCCAAAACATTTTCAAAAAATTGTCCCCAGACTATGTGTTGACTATGTTTGGGCTATGTTTGGGGTATCTTTTATTCTTCGTCGAAAATCCCCCTGTAGGGGGGACAGGCCCGACTTAACACAAGGCCCCCTTCTGCACAGCGCATGCACCGCCTGTCTCTGCCACGACGAGCGGCGAGCGCCCGCGAGCGACGACGCCGCCGCCGACGGCCGGCGAGCGGCGAGCGACGGCGGGCGCAGCCGACGGCGACGAGCGACGGCGAACAGCGAGCGGCGAACAGCGAGCGGCGGGCGGCGGCGGGCGCGCCGCCCGCCGGGGGGCGCGGCGGCGTCCTCCGCCTCGGCGAGCTCCGAGGCGGCCTCCTCGGGGGCCTCGCGCGGGGGGGGGGGGAGGGCGAACCCCTCGCGGCCGGGGAAACGATCGCGACGTAAGGTTTTTTGATTGGACTGCAGCAGGCATGCATGTGTATAACAGAGAACCAGCGAAGCCGCATCATGAGGATGCACGAGAAGGATGCAAGGGCCCTGGGAGGCCAGGTCGACACTCTGCGAGCGGGGCGCGGCCAGCGAGAGCGGCCAAGGATGGGCCGAAGGGGAAGGACGCAAGGGTAACCTTGGAGAGTCGCTCATCCTTACTATGCGGGTTGACAGCAAGATCTGAATGTGCGTATACGTATACATAGATACGTGTATATATATATATATATATATATATACACACGTTCCACTTGTCGCTACATATAGTTATAGCTATATACAGATACACATGTAGCAAACCTGTCAGACAACATGGAGGACAATTTCACGGTGTTTGAACTCGCTAGCCCATGGAACTTATCGTACTCCACGCTCGGCTCCTGTCGCGAACGCCTCCAGCCCGCCCCCCGACGGACGAAGTACGCAGCTTCCGCGGTCGCCCCCTCGGCGCCTCCCGAATTCGAGGAACCTCCCTGTGGCTAATCTGGTCGTGAGAATATCGAGGGGCCGGCGCGGGCGGGCCCTGAGCCCACTCGCGGTGCACCCTTTATACCCGTCGGCCGGAAGTGGGCAGAAACATGGAGGAGGAAGGCGTTAAGAGCAGATTGGGCTTCCGCCCGCCCCCCCCCCTTAAGGAGGAGGCACAAGAGGGAACGCCACTCGACTCTGAAAGTAGGCAGGCGCCTAACGCAAATCGGGACCTGTGCGTCCAAACAAAACACCTCCTTCCAACGACCGGCGTGCAGCGGCCTCCGGTGTGAGCCCGCTTGATGTCATGAGGCCACGGTGACTCTCCCGCGCCGACGCGGCCAGGGACTTTTGTCAGGGGAGGCCCGCGCGGCATGAGAATCATGCGCGAACGACGAAACAATTAGGCTTTCACTTAGGTCGGGCATGTCCTCCTACAGGCGGGCTTTGGACGAAAACCCAGAAATAGTCAAAACTACTTCAAAGATACTAGAAACATCGTCCCCATAGACTTTTTAATATATATATATATATATATATATATATATTTGAACATCCCTCCTGTAGAGGGACATGCCCGACTTAGGCTTACACGAAGGTCGGAAGAAAATAGGGAACAAGTTTTCCGCTGGCGGCGAGGACAGGCAGTCCGCACCGGCGCGGGGCTAATCGGGGACACTGATCGGCAACCTGTCCGGCGTGCAGGAGAGAACTCAAGAAGCAGGGGACACATGAAGCAGAAAGGCAGACGAAGCAGGTTTGGGCTCAGACCACCCTACATAATGACAACAAGCAGCAAAAAGCATATCGATTCCTGACGTAGGAAGGCACCTGAAGTCTATTGGGATCTGGACATCTGAAAATATCGGCGACGAGCGAGGGGGGGAAGTGAGAAGGGGAAGGCCTTCTCAGAAGGCGGAGGAACTTCTCGGAAGCCCTCGCGCCTTCCGAGAAGTGGAGTGGTTTGCTGGTCTTCGGCGAAGGCATACAAAACTCCTGAAAGGCCGGGGGACTTGCGACACTTCTGAGTGGGCCCTGTCTTTCTCACTTCCCCCCCCAAGCTCGCCGCCGAAAACATCTGCCTGCAAGGACCGACCGGGAACAAATACTTTGCCGACCCTGGGGGCTACCAGGTCCCATGGCGCCCCAGCCCTTTCTGCCCCTTCTTCGAGTGGGGGATCGGCTACAGAATTGAGGTACCCCGGAATTCATGTCTCGTCGCATCTAGAAGGGAACAAGTACAACGTTCCTGGGCTGCTACGCATTCCTTCGGGGACTCGACGACAGAAGAATTCTGGGGTAAATCAATCCTGCAATTGGACCTCCTGTGCGCCTCCCGTGGGCCCCGTGGCCATCGGTGCGCCACAGATGCTCGTGGGGCACCTGCTGGCATGTGAACGTCTTCTTCTTCTTCTTCTCCGGCGTTCCGACATTGGGCGGGAGCAGGGACAATCCACCCTCCTACGGATCGCCCCGACACGCGAAGCCGTTTAGTTGACGCGCCCAAAGAAGGATTCGAACAGGGCAGGGATGCTTCGTAAACGCCCAGGGCCGTTTAGAAGGGGCAAATTATCGGGTCTGGGTGGCATTTCCTCCCTTGAGGAAGGAGGGGGGTCTGGCTCCGGACCTCTGCTTAGTGCGACCGTTTGCAGCAGTGCGTCCTACGGGGTTGGAGACTCAGCCTGCCCCAAAAGGGCGCCCAAAGCAGCCAGGATCTAATCAATGGGGTGTGTGGGAGGGTGGGGAAACCAAAAGACACCGATACCACTGCTCCCCAGACCTCTCCCGGGGCGTGTTCTGACCAGGATTTCGAAGCGAATCCGGCGGTGGCGACGAGAGCCTCCCAGGAGGCTCAAAAAGGAGAAAACGAGGAAGGGATAGCGGTATGGTACCCTTCCTCCTCTAAGAGGGGGGGTGAGAGGGCCCGCGCCGATCGGCCAAACAAGGAACAAGAAACGATCACCAATGCTGGCAGGCCGACTTCTTGTTGCGGGTGCCTGCTTGCCGTCGCCGCCGCCGGGCCCCCTCGCGTCGTGAAACAAATCTCACGACTAGACGGGCGCTGCTCTCAGATGGCCTGGGCCCGCCGCAGGGGATTTACGATCCATTACATCGAGGCGAGCGTGTGTTCTTCGCACGTGTGCGAGCAGACGCTCTGCAGGTGGTGGAGCGCGCTCGGTGTACGGCGGACGGTCGCCCACTGTGACTTCTGGCCTCGGGGCTCCTGGCGCGGGCGGGGACCATCAAAAGCATGCCGGGCGGAGCAGCCGGGCCCCCTGCCAACGGGTCGACACTCCGGGGCCGCACGCTGCGAACAGGTCGCGACGTCGGGGGCCGGGGCGGGTCACCGGCCTCGGGCTCATCCCTGCGGCAAGTTCGTCTCGTTGACGACCCCACCGTTGGTCTCTGACACCGCGTGGATCGCACAGCCATTGAGCGATCGGCGGCGTTTCGATCACCAGGTCGTTCCGATTCTGGGCCACTGGCGAAGCGGGGTCGCCGCCGCAACGACACGAGGTCATGCAACTCTGAGCGGCAGGGGTGTGCTTCGGCCTGGTGGGGATGGGGATGAGGAGGATCGGGTCGGACGAGAGTCCGGGTGATCCAGAAGGGGGTCCAGCTGAAAGGGGGTGGTGAACAGATTCGGGGCACTTGTATTGCACATGTACTGCCCTGGAGAATTGTACTGCGCTGTATTGCTAGTAAGGTATTGCACGCGGAAGTCCAGCAACACACTTGCGCCCCTACTGCACGCGCGCCCCCGATGTAGTGCAACCCCACAAACCTAGCGCACCAGATCTATGGCACCACCCCCTCGACGCTGGACCCCATCTTGGGCCAAACCCGAGAGAGGGGGAACAGCAACGTGGGGGTGGCGACTCGGCTGGCGGAGGCGCCCGTGCGACAGGGCAGGCGCCCACGCGTCGGGCGCCCGTGCGCTGCTGGCCTGCCGGGAGGCCGCGCGCGCCTCCGGGGGCGGCTGCGCGCGGCCGCCGCGCGGCGACGGTGGTCCCGCCGCGCGGCGGGAGCCCTGCGTGGGCATGTCCCCCGACCTTTGCGTCGGCGGCTGGGCAGAGGGTGACTGCTCCGGCGATCGGGCATCAGGGGGGCGCACCATAGAGATGCAAGGGCATGCCCTCCTGCAGGCGGATGTGGAAAGGCAGATAGAAACGAGCAGCAAGACGCCCCCCCCAAAATGGCAAAACAAACAAGACATGTCGAAACGTCGGCCCCAGACAATGTTGGATACTCCTCCTGTAGAGAGGGACAGGCCCGACTTGCGCCCTGCGCCCCGCGAGGCCCGAACGCGCTGAGGTGAGGCCCTGGCCGGCCGCTGCTCTGTGCGGAGCGCCCGGCGGGCGGGCCGCGCCCCCTCCCCGCCCCCCGTTCCCCTCCGTTGCCTCGCCGCCTCGGACGCGGCTGCATGCGCCTCGTCATCACACGCCCGCGCTGGCCATGCAGGGTCTGGTCGGGACCCCGTGCTCTTCTTTTCTCGCCCTCCCTGCCTTTTCTCGCTTCGTGCTTCTCTTCGCTTCCGGTGCAGCCCACCGCTCGCGCTGACCCGCGCCTGACCGTCTCGCTTCCCCTGGCGTCCGCGGACTTGCACGAGTCTCTTCGTCGCCGTTTCCCTTTCTCTTGCCACAGGGCTCCTCTCGGATGGCAGAGAGGCGTCGCGGAACGCGCCCGGCGGCTGTGTCGAAGCAAGCTGCACGTAGCAGACGTCGTATGTCGTAGCCCCCGTTCTCGTCCGACCCGAGAGGAGAGAGGGGGGGGAAGTTTTCGGCAGCCTCGGCGGTGGTGTCCTGAGTCATCGTCGACGTCGGTCCTCTCGTCAACGGCGGCACCATGGCCGTCGTCATCGTCGTCGCCAGTGCCGCCTTTTTTGTCGCTGTCGCCGCCGCCGTGGGGGGGAGGAGGAGGAGGAGGAGGAGGAGGAGGAGGAGGAGGAGGAGGAGGAGGAGGAGGACGAGGAGGAGGAGGACGAGGACGAGGAGGAGGGAGAGGAGGATGAGGAGGAGGAGGAGCAGGCGGAGTAGGAGGGGGAGGAGGAGGGCGTTGCCTAAGGTGGCCCTGGCCAGAGGAACTCGTTGGAAGTACGTTGGGTTCCGCCCGCCCCCTGAAGAGGAAGGAAAAAGGACAACCACTCGACTCTTGAAGTAGGAAGGCAGCTAAACTAGGCTGGGATCTGGGAGTCCAAGAATACATACTTTCGACGACCGGCGGGTAACCTTCAGAGGTCTCCTGGGAGCTCTGGGAACCTCCTGATGGAGATCTCCATCACATGGCCTCCGAAGGCCCTCCGTCGGAGTAATCACTGTTCAATCCCAGCGGTTCTCTCGCCTGTCTCGGCGTCGTGGGGTCCTCTCCAGGCCCGCGGGGATCATCTCTGAACGCTCGAAGTGGGTACGGAACAAATGGGGCGTTCTAGAAAGGGCCTTGCCTTCGAGGATCGAAGGAGTTGTTCTCTTCCTCGTCGAAAGGCGGCGGAAGGTCGGCGAAAGGCGGCGGATGCAAAACGAGGCCGCCTCCGCCTGCGGAAGGCTGGCGCAAGCAATAAAACAACGCCTCCATGAGATGACAACATCTTTGGGTGCAGAGTTTCCAGAATCGGCCACATGGGTACAACGCCCAGCAACAAATGTGGCCCCAAACCGACAGCGGCCGCTGTTGGGCAGGCGGCCTCCTGTCCCAAACGGGCAACGTCCGCGGCGACAACGACAGCGAGTCCTGTTGAAAAGGGGCAGGAACTGCTGTCGGCCTCCGCGCCGACTTTCCCCGCAACCGCACGCCGATGGTGCCGAGCAGCAGAGAAGACGATCCGAGGCGAGGCGAGCTGCCCCGGAGGGGTCGAGCGCGAGCTACAGCTCGAGGGCCCTCCGAGCGAGCAGCAACAGAGCAGATCCGCCTGGGGCCTGGATGCCTCGTGCAGTCCTCGTGCAGACGTCAAGCGCCGAGCCGGGAGCACGGAGGGGCGCTCCTTTCTGGCCTCGGCGAGCCCCGGCGATTCCCCTTCGCCTCCTCCGTCCCCCTCCTCCTTCCTCCCATCTTCGCTGCCTTCGTCGTCGTCGCTGTCTTCGGCGTCGTCCCTTCTGAATCTTTCCATCGTCGTCGTCTTCGTCTTCGCCCCCCCTTCAGGGTCGGCGGCACCGGCCGTAAGGCCTTCGCAATCCGCCCGGGGCCTGGGTGACGTCGACCCCCCTCGACCTATTCCCCGGGACCGGCTCTTCATCCTGGTGGTTGCTGGCGGTCCCGAGGCCCGGCGAGGGCCCCCCCGGGCCGAAGATGGCGAAAAACCTGCCGTCGTGATTTTTTCACAGCGCGAGGGGTCTGGGGACTGAGCAACAAAACAAATCCGCCTGTGAGGCCCGGGTGGACGTGCAGTCCTCGTGCAGCCGCCGGGTGCCAGGCCAGGAGCGCGGAGGGGGCGCTCCTCTCTAACTAGCCCCGGAGAGCCGACGCGACGAGCAGCCCCCCCCCGACCTGTCGGTCATGACTTCGAGGAGCGGCCTCAAGACCAGGGTCCCTCCTGAGCCCAAGCTGGTCCTTCTCCTCCCCCTCCTCCTCCTCCTCCTCCTCCTCCTCCTCCTCCTCCTCCTCCTCCTCATCTCCTCCTCCTCCTCTCCTCCTCCTCCTCCTCTCCTCCTCCATCTCCTCCGCCTCCTCCTTCGCCTGCTCTTCCCCTCCTCCTCCGCATCCCCCCCCCTCCTCCTCCTCCTCCTCCTCCTCCCCCTCCTCCTCCTCCTCCTCCTCCTCCTCCGCCTCCTCCTCCTCGTCTTCCTCTTCTAGTTGTTATTATGTCGGCGTCTTCACTGTAGGGCGAAGGATTGGCGCAGCACCCCAGGGCGCCGTGATGAACGACAGCACCGGGATGGCGGCGTGCGCCGTGATGCGGATGGAGTCGCTGAGCACCTGGGCACGGGCTCGTCTCCTCTGCTTCCCATTCCTTCCTGGAGCTCTTTCTTCGGAGGGCCAGCCGTGCGAGAGAACGCCGGCCCTCCCCGCCGTCTTCGTTCTTGTGGCGCTCACTTGAGGCTTCTCGTCGCCACGGCTGGCTCCGCTTCGAAAAGCTGGGCAGGATGGACCCCGGGAGGGGTCCAGGGACTGATTTTGAGCGGGTCTGGGCCAGGTGGGAAGGCTGCCGTTCTGTCTCAACTGGCCCTTCTCCGTTGCCTCACTCTCCTCCATCACAAAGCTTCATGAACGCAAGCTTCATGAAAGAAGCTTTCGAAGCTCCTCCTCCTCCTCCTCCTCCTCCTCCTCCTCCTCCTCCTCTTCCTCCACCTCCTCCTCCTCCCCGCTGATTTTTTGCATCGGCTCGGTGATCCTCAGAACGTGCGTCGGCGCCATCGTGTGCGCGTCCGCCGACGCCCCTCAATATGCGACACGGGCGGCGCGGCGAGGGCCGACACGGCTTGTTCTCAGCAGCAGCGAGGCGGAGAAGCTGCTTCAGCGGCTATGGCGATTCGCGGCGACCGAAAGGCGAACCGGCCGGCGTGCAACGAGGGGAAGCAGGGACTAGGGCGGCCACACTCCTCCTCCTCCTCCTCCTCCTCCTCCTCCTCCTCATCCACCTGCTCCTCCTCCTCCTCCTCCCTCCTCCTCCTCATCCTCCTCCTCCTCCTCTGCCTCCTCCTCCTCCTCCTCTCTGCCCTCCTCCTCCTCCTCCTCCTCAGACTAGGGCGGCCACACTCCTCCTCCTCCTCCTCTCCTCCCACTCCTCATCCCCTCCTCCCTCCTCCTACTCATCCTCCTCCTCCCCTTTTCCCTCTCCTCCTCCCCCTCCTCCTCCATCCTCTGCCTCCTCCTCCTCCTCATCCTCGTCCTGCTCCTCCTCCTGTTCCTCCTCCTCCTCCTCCTCCTCCTCTGCCTCCTCCTCCTCCTCTGCCTCCTCCTCCTCCTCCTCAGACGCGGAAGACTTCCACGTCGAGTGGGCCTGGCGAGGGCCGACACAGGCTGTGCGCCATCGGCGCCATAGCCCCCCCCCCTCCCCTGGCACGAGGAGCGCAGCAGGGGAAGGCACCCTCGCCACTGGGCGCGGCCCGGCGCAGAGCCGAGGCATCCGCGCGGGGCTCCGGAAGTTCCTCTGCGGTGGTTCAGCTGTGCTCCTTCGGCCCCAGCTCCTTGTCTGGTTGCAGGGGCCCTGGTGCAGCAGAAGATGGAGCACAATCATGGCGCTGCCAAGAAAGTGGAGGGCAGAACCTCTCTCCCCAGGAGGATCGCCCCGACACGCAAAGCCGCTTCACAAACGCACCCGCAGAATGATTAGACCAGGGCAGGGCTGTTTAGTAAGCGCCCAAGGCCGATTACTCCAAATTTCTTAGTAATCGTCCCCCGGGTCCGGTTTTTTAAGGCGCCTTTTTATATTCTGGGGGGGGGTCCGGTTTATTAGGGCGCTTTCTTTGGACTGGAACTTAGGGGTCCAATTTATGAAGGCGCCCCGTCGAAGAGGGTGGTCCGGAAATTTAGGTCGCACTTGGAGGGGGGTCCGGTTTTTTAAAGGGGTCGATCGACAAGGGGCTTGAAGCAGCAAGCGCCAGGGATCAGGTCCCGATGGGATGTCACTCCCTCAGCAGAAGGAGCGCTTTGGACGCCCGAAATGGGCACGTAAAGAATGGGTACAATGCCCAACAGCAAATGTTGTCCCGAACCAACAGCGGCCGCTGTTGGGCAGGCGGCCTTCTGCCTCTGATGGGCACCGGCCGCGGCGGCGCGGACAGCGAGTCCTGTTCGAAATGAACAGGGACTGCTGTTGGGCACGTACCCATTCTTTCCGTGCCCATCTCGTTCGTGCAGAAGCGCTCCAACAGAGAGACCCGAAGGGCCTCTCGCGGCCACGGCGATCCCCGGCCGCGACGAGGCTCCCCGTCCTGGGCGCAGAAAAAAAAAACACGGACCGAAGGCACGTGCCCCTCCTGAGCCCAGAGTGGCCCTCCTCCTCCTCCTCCTCCTTCCTCCTCCTCCTCCTCCCTCAACATCTCCTTCCGCCTCCTCTCCTCCTCCCTCCTCCTCCATCTCGCCCCTTCCTCCTCGCTTCTCCTCCTCTTTCTCCTCCACCTCCTCCTCCTCTCCTCCTCCTCTCCTCCTCCCCTCCTTCCTCTCCTCGCTCCTCCTCCACCTCCTCCTCCTCCTCCTCCTCTCCCTCCTCCTCCTCCTCCTCCTCCTCCTCCTCCTCCTCCTCCTCCGCCCCAAAAAACAAACAAAAACCCCCCTCCCCTCCCCCTCCCCTCCTCCTCCTCCTCCCTCATCAACCATCCTTCAATCAAGAATCCTCCTCAAGCATCACTACTCCTCCTACTCTCCTCATCATCCTCCTCCTCCCCTCCGCCTCCTCCTCCTCCTCCTCCTCCTCCGCCTCGCTCCCTCCTCCTCCCCTCCTCCACCGCCTCCTCCTCCTCCTCCTCCTCCCTCCTCCCCCTCCTCCTTGGATTCCAACGTGGGTCTGTTAGTATAGAGAGGGTCATGAAACAAACGTTGCAACACATATTCTGCGTATCTGTGCATATGCGGTCTGGCAAATCGGGGCGGCATCATCGCGACGCCAAGGGGCGTCGCGGACTCGAGCCTGTGGCCTGGAAGCACGAAGCGCACGATTACCCTTATCATGAAGTTCTGCAACCAGTCGCTGTGTTCTGGGGGTGCACGGACAAGCAAAACTCTGTTCAGCGAATCGTTAGCTGGCGCCCGCCTCGAGCTCATGCCAAACCCCCCGCCTCTTCCAAATATCCCTTCGCTGCGGCTCCACCCTCCTCATGCCCCTCCGATTGCCCCGGTCCTCATCATGCCCTTCATCCACACTGCCCCCCCCCATGTGCCAATTCACGTCGTTCCTCGTCGTCCTCCTGCGCCGGATTCGTTCCCCCATCGTCCACATGCCTGCCCTCCTCCCATCCTCTACGCCCTCGTGCACATCATGCTCCCAACTTCTGCCCCCCACCCCACCTCCCTCGCCCTCGTGATGCTGACACCGATGATGCAAATCCTCCTGGGCTCATTTCCTCCGCTCTCGTCCAGTCCCGTTCATCCTTGGCCCCTCGGCCACCCCTCCTATCGAACCCCTTCCTTCCCACAGCCCACCCTCCCCACCCACCCCGCGCCATTGCATGCCCAGACCACGGCCCCCTCCTGGACCAGCCGGGAGACCCGCGGAAACTCCCGCCCAGAGACCACTCCAGCGAACGGCCCGCAACAAATTCACAGTTGGAGACACGAACTGTGTATTTCGACCGCGCACGAGGCCCCCCTGGACCAGCCGGAAGAGAAACGCGAAAGTTTCCGCCCATTCAACACCACCCGCGAGGGACACACTTCAAATACACAGATGGGAACGAGATCTGTGTACACAGATCACACCACGATCTGTGTAAACAGCGGGCCCACACACGAAAATACACAGTTGAAGACACAAACTGTGTACACAGATCACACGTTCATCTGTGTATTTCGAATAGGTAAACGCTCGCCACCTCGAGGGCGCCCCGACTTTGCCAGCCCAGAACCGAAGTTGACATGCCCAGCTGGGGGGGAATGCAAATACGCACTTCCCCGGCCCAGGGCGCCCCCGAGAGAACCGCAAATACACGCTTCCCTGGCCCAGGGCGGCCGCGGTGTAACGCGGCGCCAAAGCGGCCCCCAACGGCCCGAAGACGCCCCAAAAGGCCTCGAAGGACACCAAATAAAGCCGCGCAGCAATCCGAAAACACGAGAGATGTCACACGTCACGGACCTCTTACAAGTCAAAAGCTCCACGCGCCGCCATATAGACCACTGCTCCGGCAGGGGGGCGGACCTTGCCGCAGGCACTTATAATTTACATGTTAGCGATGCGACTGTGCTCGGCGGCCGTGCCGCCCAAATTTTGGGTGCGCCCCGAACTCTCGCATTGGCAATCCCCTCTGTTTGGTTGCGCCGCTGTGCTCGGGTGTCGAAAAAGCATTTACCGCTGACGCGGGCACGCGGCACCAGGGACTTCACTTTTCGAACAAGGAGGGTGGACGAGGTAGGACGACGGACGGTGGAGCAGGGAGGCAAAGAGGAACGAGGAATAATAAGGGAGGTGGGAAGGGGCGCTCCCCCGCCCGACCCCGCGGACGCTTTCGACACCATCCAGGGGAGGGAAGACAGGAAGGGGAACGGAGCAAGGGCGAGGACGACGACGGGAAGCAAAGTGCCCCAGGTCCGCATAGAGCCATATGTCTGCGATTCGGGTGCGCGCGCTTTCTTCGAGGCACTTCAAGCCGGACCCATGCTGAATTCACGAATTCCTCAAAACTGTGTAAACACTCTGTCCTCTGTTCCCTCTCCTATACAACGGCCTCATAACAGAGGGACAGTGGACTCCAACCTCCTCCTCCTCCTCCTCCTCCTCCTCCTCCTCCTCCTCGCTCCTTCCTCCATTCCTCTCCTCCTCCTCCTCCTCCTCCTCCTCCTCCTCCTTCCTCCTCCCTCCTCCTGTCTCCTCCTCCTCCTCTGCCTCCTCTGCCTCCTCCTCCTCCTTTTCCTTTTCCTCCTTCTCCTCCTCCTCCTTTTCCTCCTCCTCTTCCTCCTCCATCTCCTTCTCCTCATCCTCCTCCTTCTCCAGAGCGGTCCTTATGCCAGCGCTTCGACTGCACCGCCAACCGGATGCGAGCAAATGACAGCACGCCAGTCCCGAGAGCTTCGCTCACGCGTGTCTACTTCCCAGACTTCCAGCAGACTGTTCTTAACACCTCTTCCCAAGAATCGGGTTTTCATCTCGTTGGGCGTGAGTTAATGGGGGAACGATACATTGAAGGGGGGGGGAGAAAGGTGCCCTTCTCGGGCCCCGAAGGCCCCCCTTTTGTACCCTAAATGGCTTTTCTGGGACCCGACAGGGCCCCTTTTCAGCAGCCCTCGCTGCCCCCCCATGCATCGCCCCCCAACCACCACCACTC